CATTGTTTATTGATTATTGATAGCCCCCATTGTTGAATAAGTTAGAGTTGGTGGCCACCAATGTTGACAACAAACCAAGAAGAGCCTCCATGAATGCCTATAAATAGAGACATATGTTAGAGAGCAAAATATGAAGATTTTTGTGAGAATGTGAAGAGAGTAAAGAGAAAGAGAGAGCTACAATGGCAGCAGTTGCAAGTGCAGCAAAGAGAGGGCTAGGAGTAGAGTAGAGTGAAGTTATCATTCTTCTCCATGTATTTGTTTTGTATTCTTTCTCTAATCTCTAATAATATAGACTCTCACCCGTGGATGTAAGCTATTTGCCGAACCACGTTAAATATTGTGTCACTGTGCTTGGCCTCCTATGAGCAAGTATCAGAACATCACCGGTTAGAATTCCTAACACAGGATGCATGATTTTATGGGTTCTTAAAACATGTCAAATGGTGGTAGTGTTGTGCTCCAATTTTGGATATTAAAGGTGATTAAGACTACCACTTTTTAGTTTTTTTTAAATAATTAAAATTTTAAAAAATTTAAAACCAAAACCTCCTAATTTTTGGATATCATGTTTTACTTTAGAAGGTATGCTAATGAAAAATATAAATTTATTTTTAGAAGTTGTGACATGACATAATAGTTTAAACTTTTGGATCCTTCGTAATTCATCTTATATATATATATATATAAAAAAAAAATTATGTGTGGTAATAAAAATTACAATCCAATATAAAACCTAAATACGTATTTTGTATGAAAATAATATTTCATCAAGTGACGTACCAATATTACTTGGAAGTAAGAATAGCACATGCATAGTGATCGCCATAATACATTCATCAATCAAATTATTAATACTTAACTCAGAACTCACTCAATAAAAAAACACGCGTCTATTTTTTTAAAAAAAAAATTACTATTTTTATTTTCTTGAATTTTTACTAAAATTTTCAAAAATTAACTTAAGTATCCCATCAGTTCATTACATTTAAAAAAAAGTTTAATATGATCATGGCTTTTCTATTATCTTCACTCTTCGGGACCCGATATTTGAGACCATTTCATTGAAGATCACAGTTTTGTTCCATGCATGATTGCTTGATTTTTATCCCACTCATGAAATCCTTTATATATATGCACGTGCACTAAAAATTGTTAACAAGCTTTAGTTTCTAATTACAGGCAGCTAGAGCACACAATTACAAGAAAAAAGGCGGCAAGTGCTGTAAGTCTAAAACCAATGCCACAAGCCTATTTAAGTTTCACATACAGACACAAAATTAAAACATGTAGTAAATAATTTCAACATGTATGTAAGAGTGGTTTTTCATCTAGTGATGATGGAGCACAAATATCGAAGCTGGAGATTGTTGAGGCAGAAGTAACATCCCAAGGTGCTCCCATCACTTCATTTCTGTCGTATTCATTCTCTTGTTGGACGATCAAGTTTTCGGATTTTTTAATCCTCTCCAACACCATTGTCACTTCTTTCATCGTAGGCCTTTCTTTCCCATTTAACCTCAAGCAGCTCCTAGCCAAGCTAGCAACCATCAACACATCCTCTCTTTCCCCTTGCTTCACAACCTGAGGATCAAGAATATCAAACAGGCAGTTGCTCTCCATGGCCATTATGAAATATGTGGCTAAACTTCTGCCTTGTTCTTCTGATCTTGTGAACGAGATTGGCTTCTGCCCAGTAAGTAGCTCAACAAGAACTACACCAAAGCTATAGACATCACTCTTGTCTGTGAATTGGCTTGATTGGAAGTACTCTGGATCCAAGTACCCAAAGGTGCCTTGTACCAGAGTTGTGACATGAGTCTGGTCGATGCTTACCGACCTTGAAGTCCCAAAATCTGCAACTTTGGCTCTATACTTCTCATCAAGCAGTATGTTTGTAGACTTGATGTCTCTATGGAAAATGGGGAGGGAGGCTGCTGAATGTAGATAGAAAAGTGCCCCTGCTACCTCTGCTGCAATCCTTAAGCGCATTTCCCAAGCTAAAGGGAATTCCTCATTAGGGTCATGGAGAAACTGGAAAAGGGTTCCATTGGGAATGAATTCATAGACTAACAATGGAAGTTCAGTCTCTAAACAACAACCCAAAAGCTTAACCACATTTCTATGGTTAATCTGGGATAGAAGGACGACCTCGATGATAAATAGTCTGAGATTCCCTTCATCAATTACTTTGGATTTCTTGACTGCAACGATTTTTCCATCAGCCAACATCCCTTTGTAAACTGTTCCTTGGCCTCCCTGGCCCAGCGTTCTATTCACATTGTAATGATCAGTGGCTTTGTCCAATTCTTTCGAAGGAAACATTTTGATTTTCTCGACATTGACTTCACCTGAAGATAGTTGTTCTTGCAGTAATAGACCACCATTCCTCTTAAAGTACTTTTTCTTTAGTTTTTCACTCCTCTTTCTCTTGAATACTCTGTACAACCACCATAAACCAATGAGTAGAAAAAGTGCTCCAAATCCCACTCCAACACCTGCACAAGTCAACCAATTGCATTCAATTCTTTTTTTAGAGCTGAACTCAGAAAAACAAATTCTGCCTGTTTGCTTGGGTAATGATGCAGTATCTGCGATTATTTGATACTGCTGGGATAGGATTGGTGATTTTGGGGTTGTACAGCTGCAGCAAGGGTCTAGATTTTATTTGTAACTTCCCTTTTGCAGACCGTCTTTACTACTTTTCCAGGCAACAGAGTCTGTATCCTATAACATCAATTGAATTTCCTTCTTGCTTCCTCTAGCTCACTGTTTTTCCTGTACCGCTTTGAGCAGTGGAGGATCTTGCATAAAATTTCCATCAATTCTACATTGTTAAGCGCAGTGTTGTTGTTTGTCTCAATATTCTACTTTATTCATGTCAGTTTTAAAAGGAGAATTTGATTCTTAAAAAACAGTAAGTTAAATTTTAATTTCTTTTTATAATTTTGATTGTCTAAGTGTACAAATCTAATTTGAAGAAAAAAATTATTACAAGCATATTTCAAGAAAGTGTACTGTTTTACTTGAAACTTATTATTCATACATTTTTTTTCAAGAGATCATTATTCATACTTGGGAAGGAAGAAAGCTGTGAAACATTGATCTAATTACAAATAAAATTTGAAAAGAAGGGCACAAAATCGAATACTTCAGAAGGCTAAATTGTAATCAATCTCTAATTGGTTAAGATGGCATCAACAAAAAAATTTCATGTCATTGGTTCTTGAATAAATTAATTGATTTGATTTAGTCCATCAGACAAATTCTAGTATGACATATATCATGATTTCACACATGAAATATTTAAAACTAGAATGATATATATACAAGAAATTTTATGGTGTTTATAAAGTAACTAGCGTGGCACAAGAGAAAAATCACAAGCGAAAATATTTTTAACATTTTAATGGTTCATGGGATTTTATTTTTATTTTTATTTTTCTCCTTGTATCTTTTTTTTTTCAAAATGAATATTAAAAAATAACTAATAGAATATTACTATTTTTTTGTGTAATATAAAATTTATTGTATATATACACATATCACAGGATAATTAATTAATTAATTAAAACTAGTTATAGGAGCATAAATGTATATAGTACTTGAAAAAAAAAATCGCAAGGGAGGCTGCTGTCTTCTCCGGTCACTCATAGAGGATCCGCCATTGAATCTGCTTTTTTCTTCAAGCTAACAAAATCGTCACTTGTGACATTTGTAGCACTATCAGGAGGCAAGTCAATAACATAGTTTTCCTCCAAGCAAACATTACAACGCCAGTCAATTGTTTTCTTGACCCATTTAAAGTGTGACATAATCCTTAGTCATTTCTATCATGATGATATAGATCAGTGAAAATGCAACAACATACCTAGGCCTGCCATTTTAGCTTTGATTTTACGCCGGTAATCGACATATGTTCTACCCTCTGCAACACATGGAGAAATCATGGAGTTTATTAGTAAACCATGCCGGAAGAATCTATAGAGTAGGAATTAATTGTAACCAGGAGTTTACCTTGACAAATACCAAAAAGGTAAGGATTTCCTTCGAAGCCTGGACTGCATGAACATTGAACGGTGGAGCTCTGGTTGGTTGAATTAATGGGAGGATTCAGAAACTCACACGTAGAAGAGTAACTTGAATTATATAACGATCCATTGTTGATGACAAGTGATTCATATTCCCTTTCGTCTATTCCCCATTCCAGCACTACGGGAACAGAGTCCCTATCTCTCTTGTCATAATAATAGTCAAAGTTCTCTCCGAAATAAGAATCATAATAATACCCCCGTAATTGATCTGTGTTTGATCAATTAAATAGGCATACCTGCATTGCTTTTCCCCACCGCTTCCTTTTCCATCATCTAACCCCTTCATGTTTACATTAAAAACCTTGAGAAATGAAGGAATCCTGGTCTGGCAGCAGTCGATCCCACTGCAGCTAGCTATCATGCTATCACGGTTTTTGTCACAAATTGACACACACCCACCAATAGTAGATTGATTTTGGGTCATCAAGGCAAGATTGTCACAACCCCTTGCAATGAAGTAATTCCCGGAGGAGAAAACAAAAGGGCTTCCTTCCAAGTCAACAACTGTGTTTCTATCTTTGCCACTACAATTTGCAAAAACAATTGGAAACATGACCTCAATCGTACTGTCATAGGCTGAGATGTAATTGACATCCAGATCAGTGCCGTTTACAGTAAGTTTAGGAACTCCACTACTGGGGTTGCAGAGTATTTTGAACCTTTCGTCTAGGTAACATCCTTCTTTCATTCCAAAGGGATATGGAATACCAATGCGTCCACAATAAGATTCACATCCAGGCAATGTCATAACCTGTGATTCTGCAGTACGCAATGACCAGAACAACAGGATGACCTGAAATACTGTTAACTCAACAGCTGCCATATTCTTTTTCTTCTTCTTTCAGACAGAGTAGCTTTTTAGAAGAGAGAAGGTATAAAACGGGCTCTTACTTGGCAAGTAACCCAGCCATATGTTAAGTTATCCAAGATCTTCTTCTTCTTTCTACTAATTCTTTCTTTCTTTGTTTTTTTCCTTTCGCCTTCCATGAGTAGAAAGTTCAAAACCAAAGTCTTTAGAACCACACAAAGAATTAAGCAGCCAGACTTGACCGAGTCAGTCAATTACACTATCCTATACTATAGTAGGTTATAATTGCATCATAGGCCTTGTTTTGCCAATGGGACTCTATCTCCTCTTGAAGCTACAGTACTCCCACTTTTATTGGAGGTTGCATGTTCAATTCCTCGAAAGGGAAGTCAATCTCAATTGCTAAAGCATTAAAAAAAAAATTCATTTTCTTTGTTTATTAATTTGAACTTGGAATTTTTATTAAAGGTTCTTCAACGTTAAATTTTCTAGCTATTTCCTAAAGTATAATATATATATATATATATGAGTAGTCAAATTTTTTTTAAAAAATCTGCAAATATTTAATGCTAACACAATCCTGCACAATTCTAAACCACATTTTTCTACTTTGAGACGGCAGCTTTTTAGCAGAGAGAAGGAACATAAACGGGCTTTTACATGGAAAGCATCCCAGCCATAATTTAAGCTATCTAATCTATACATTAAGTTATCCAATTATTTACCCCTTACCAAACATGCCCTAACATCATATATCATGCTATCAGGTTAAATCTTGACATTGCATTTCTTTCTAGGTGCACGTCTAATCAACAGATCTTCTCTGATCACTGGCAAGGTTCCATCCACTTGATGTTAGGGGCTCCACAATCATTATCTTCGTTAGTCTATTTGTTAATGTTTTTCTTCGACTTGTGGAACGACGTGCATGTTCCTCCACCTTCTTGTTTAACTTCTATGATTTTTCTTGATTGACTTGCGAAGTCATGTGTTCTGAACCAGTCGAAGACATGACAGAAGAGACAAGAAACTACCTTCTATTATCAAAGCTTGATTGCAGGGCTTATTCGATATTCCACAGTGATTCGGCGCTACCAATCTTTCTTGTTTTTCTTCTTCCACAGTGATTCGGCGCTACCAATCTTTTTTGTTTTTCTTCTTTTTTTTCTCTCCTCTTAAAAATTTACTTTTGGCTATTCAAATTTGCAAATCAGCCCTTTACATTTTTTTCCTTTAGATTTTTTATTCCTCTTTTTTTATTTGTTTTATTTTAATTTATTTCTAAAATTGAAAAATTTTGAATTTAATCCTCCTTCAATGTTTTAATCTATCAAATTTTATTCATATTCTTTTGATTATTTTTTATTTGAGATAATTTTTTAAATTTATATTTTTTACTACACCCTCCATTTTTTTTTAATTTGATGCTCATTCTTCTTATTGTTATTTTTTTCTTTGGTAAATTTTTAAATTGAATTTTTTTTTTGTTGATTTCATTCATTAAAATTAAATTAATTGAGAATTGAGTTTTTTAATTGAACTCAAGTTTAAATTTATAAAATTAAAATATTAATCTATGTTTAGAAAATTTATCCCAGTCAATCAATATGGATTAAAATAATAAATTTGTTATTTTATTCTTAAAAAAATTTCACACTCACTTTTCGCTAATGGATGGTGGGTTGATGAAGTGATTAAACTTGGCCACTTGAGGGGTTTGGGGGTGATTTCCATACTACTATAATAATGTATACTCTAGTATTTAAGTTAGTAAATATCCGAGGAGAATAATATATAAAAACAAGAGTTAGTAAATATACTAGGAGAATAATATATAAAAACAAGAGGTGTAGTAGAGTGTCTAGATGCAAAAGTGTATACAACTGGGTAGGAGTGGGGATTGTGGAGCAGGGGAATAACAATATGTATAAGAGCAGAGGTGTGTACAGTAGAAGAGGAGAAATATGTGGAGGAGGAGAGGAACAATGTTGTTTGATGGCTTTTTGTGACCTCTTATGCTCTGTGTGATTCTGTCCTTATGTGGGTGGCCTGGGGTATTTATATCCTTGGCCCTTAAGACCATGTGGTTTACCTAATGAGAAATGAAGGAGAAGAAATGCCTTTCAATTATGCGCATGTAACTGCAAAATAAGTTATTGAGTGTAGGTGCCTCACTATACAGGGTAGGTGCTGTACTTATTAGTGGTATAGAGTGAAAATGCAGCAACGACATACCTAGGCCTGCCATTTTAGCTTTGATTCTCCGCCGGTAATCGTCGTATGCTCTACCCTCTGTAACACAAGGATAAACCACAGAGTTGATCATTAAACCATAAACCATGCCAGAAGAATCTATAGAGTAGGAAATGTAACCAGGAGTTTGCCTTGACAAATACCAGAAAGATAAGGATTTCCTTCGAAACCTGGATTGCAAGAACATTGAACTTTCTCCTTATTATTTGTGGGTGTAGACATTACATATCTATGTAAAATCTTTGCATTATGATTATTTCTTTTATATTTACTACTTTTGGGATTTTTCTACTTCCCCAATCTTCTTCTCTAATGGTAACTTTTAGAACTTCATTTATACACTACATAGGCTTTTCTATAGATTTTAATTCGATCATCAAGCACGCATGCATGTAGCCCGGTAGCATGCAGCAATACGAACAACAAGTGCTAGCTGGAGTCCTGGTTATTGCAAAAGGAATCAATATTCATGTAGAGCATGATAATATTTTTAGTTATTTTCCACTTAAGTTTCCGGAAAATTCTTTATTTTACAAACTATGCACATGCCTAAATTCCCCGTTTTACAATTTGTTAGTCTTGCATCTGCTTGAATGTCTTGTCTGAGAGGGGAGGCCGGCGCCTCCGTGAGTTATTAGTCTTATAGGTTAGTTACGCAGTTGTTTATGGTAAAGTAATTATTCTCGTAATTATTCATACGATTAGGATGCGTAGTAAGTTTACAACCCTACAAAGTCTATAAATATCAAAGACGTCTTGTATGAAGAAGAGAACATACAAAACCCCACACACTTATAAGTGTCGAGTTCTGAATCCTCCCATTCATTCAACCAACCAGTTGGCAACAGTTCAGTTTTCTTGTATACCAGGCTTTGTAGGAAATCCTTATTTAGGTCGTTGTGAAGGTAATTTCCTGGTTAATTTCACAATTTTCTTATTTTCTTCGGCATTATATTTCCCAATCCATCGATTCTTCTTGATTTTTTTACCATTACATGGTGTAAAGATCAACTATGTTACTCTATGCGACAGAGGATCCAGACTACATGGATTGCCAGGGACATGTGAGAGATAAAACGTTGGTCCTGGGTATGTTGCTGCATTTGCATCCTATATCATCTAAGAAATGACAATTGCTTAGGAGAAAGAATACTTGCATTTTTCCTGATCAGTTCCCTTTCCCTATCTGTTCATAATTGCTTGACTCTTGTAGGAATTGGAGTGGGAATTGGAGCATTGTTTATGCTCATTGGTCTGTGGTGGTTGTACAGAGTATTCAAGAGGAGGAGGAATGAAAAACAGAGGAAAAAATACTTCGTATGGAATGGTGGTTTATTGCTGCAAGAAAAACTGTCTTCAGGTGAAGTCCATGTTGGGAAAATCAAATTTGTTTCAATCCAAGGAACTAGATAATGCCATAGATCACTACAATGTGAATAGAATGCTTGGTCAGGGAAGTTGGCTGATGGAAAGATCATTGCAGTTCAAGAAATCCAAAATTCTTGATGAAGGGAATCTCAGACAATTTATCAATGAGGTGGTCATTCTTTCACAAATTAGCCATAGAAATGTGGTTAAGCTTTTGGGTTGAAGTTCCATTGTTGGTCTCTGAATTCACCCCTAACGGGACACTTTCCCAGTTTCTCCACTACCCAAATGAGGAACTCCCATTAACATGGGAAATGCGATTAAGGATTGCAACAGAGATAGCAGGGGCACTCTCCTACGTGCATTCATGAGCTTCCATCCCCATTTATCACAGAGACATCAAGTCTACTAACACACTGTTGTAAGCATTGACCAGACTCATTTCACAACTCTGGTACCTATGGATACTTGGATACAGAGTACTTACAATCAAGCCAGTTCACTGACAAGAGTGATGTATATAGTTTTGGTGTAGTCCTCGTCGAGCTACTCACTGGACAAAGGCCTACTCCTTTAGCAGATCGGATGATGAAGCCAGAAGTTTAGTCGCATATTTCATTCTGTCCATGAAAGACAACCATCTGTTAGATATTCTTGATCCTCAAGTCATGATGCAAGGGAAGAAAGGGCATGTTTTGATGGTTGCTAACTTGGCTAGGAGTTGCTTGGGATTAAATGGGAAAGAAAGGCCTACGATGAAAGAAGTTGCTTTAGGGATGGGGGGGATTAAAAAAAAATCACCTAGGAATCAAATTTCAGAGAAGGATTTCAAAATTTCACAGGAGATTGAATATGATAATGGTTATGAAGTAATGGATGTTCGTTGGAACCTTGCTTCTACCTCAATAGGCTCTGGTTTTGACAATGGTGCTGCTTCTTCAAAAGAAACAACACTACTCTTGCACACATAATAGAATTTTCTTTTTCTTTTGTTGTAATTATATGTTTTGTTGTAACAAAATAGTTGCTCCTGATCATATGAATAATATAAAGAATTTTTTTTTTCCATTTTTTTTATATATCCATTGTTCTTGATAGTATCCATAACACTATCAAGAACAACGTCCGTTTATTTATTTGGTGATATATGTATCCTTGACTGGTTCAAGATGAAGCACTCCATGAGCATGCTGTGTTGGTCACAGGCATTCATTATCAGTCAAGAATGGCTCCTAGAATATATAGAGTTTCGAAACTTATTCAAATATTAATTTAAACCTTGAAAAGTTATGAAACAGTAAGTCCAGTGATGGTAAGAAGGAAATCATTTGACATTTCTATAATTTCTAGCATTCACGCGTTATGATTGATTAATTTCCTTGCAAGAAACCAAGATATTTCTTTCTTTTCTAGATGAATGGACAATGAATACGTCAAAAAATTAAGAATTAATTCATAATTACATAATTATATAGTTTATCAGAACTAATAAATTAATGAGTCCTTTATTATGAAAATAATTACATAATTCTTTCACAAAAATTTTTAATTTAGCACTTTTATTTTCAAAAATCTCATTTCTTCCTAATCAAATTTTCTCATCATAGACATTACACATCTTTTCTTTCTTTTATATATTATCAGTCAGGAATGGCTGCTGTTGTTTATTAAAAATAACTAATGAGTCCCATAGCATGAAAAATAACTATCTAGTCCCTTGACTGGCGATGACCTACTTCAACTTAGTTGTTTATGTTTTCAAAAATACCTCATCTTAGCTATATATGTTTTCCTTTTTTATCCATGTAAGAAAACTAAGTAAAAATAGAACAAGAAATTGATGAAAGGACTAAGTTATTAACGGATTTAAGAAAATAGGGATCAAATTTATAGTTTCTAAAAAATTATTAGTTAATTAGCTTAGGCTTTTAATTAACCCAAGGTTTAGTTGAAGAAAACATCATCTTTTGTTAGGTCAAAGTCCCACATCTAGAATAATATCTGGCTCTAAAAGTGACGCAAGTAAATGGGGAGAACAAAAGCAAGAAGAAATCAACTTTGAATCCTTCTACTATTAGTTGGGAATTTCACAGGGTAGAATGTAAAGAATCTGATCTATATAGCTTCAAGCGGCAGGATTTTCATTTCAGTCAGGGAGAGGAAAGCTGTAAAGAAAAATAATGGTTTTTCAGCTAGTGTTTCAAGTCATTTTTTTGTTCTGCTCATTGAATCCATTTCTTGCAGAAGCACAATCTATAACAAAAGGTGGATGTAAAGAACGTTGTGGAAACATCACCATTCCATATCCATTTGGAATGGAAACTGGTTGTTACTTAGAAGAGAGGTTCAGGATAGATTGCAACTCTAGCAGCATTCCTACACTTGACATAAATGGAACCAGCCTGGAGGTAAAAGATATCTCAGTTGATACAGCCAACAATATCCAAGTCAATTTCCCAATCATCTTTCAAAATTGCAGCAGCAAAACCAGCAGCAGGGATTCACTGGTCGTCAATTTGGAAGATACCCCTTTTTCTTTCTCAACTGAAAATCGGTTCATTGCAGTTGGTTGCAACAACCTTGCTTTGTTGAGCAGAAATGAGGCTACTGTCGGCGGGTGCATGTCAATTTGCAACGTAAGCAGTAGTGATGCCTCTGCAAATGGTACTATTTGTAATGGCATCAACTGCTGCGAGACTACAATCCCCTCAGGTCTCGATTTTTTTAACGCAACCTTACAAGTTGTAGGCGACAAGGTGAAGGATGGGTGCAAGTATGCCTACTTAGTTGATCAAAATTGGTTTAATCTGAGGCTCGACAATAACATTTCGGTGATAGATATGGACTATGTCCCAGTGGTGCTAAATTGGAGAATTGATCTTGGATTATACGAAAATATGACGCTGAATGGATCAGCGTATAGAGTAACAAATTTAACGTCTTCCGGGACTTCCAGATGTAGCCAGAACTCAACTTTTCTTCGATGTTCGTGCTCCTCAGGCTTTCAAGGCAATCCTTATATTCCTGATGGTTGTCAAGGTAATCATTCTCATCAACTAAACTAATAGTTTCTTTAAACATGGATTAAAGAATAGGATAATTATATGATGTACTGAATTTTGTTTGTCTATATATGCAGATATTAATGAATGCCAGAGCTCTCCCAACAACAACACTATTTGCTCCTGGGACCTAATCTGTCAAAACCTATACGGCGGCCACCAATGCGTGAAGCTTGAAATCAAGAAATCTCGGGTTAAAATGGTGGGTTTAGGTATGTTGTCTTGCAACCTAGAACATGATACGAATGGATTTGTTTCTTTATTTTTCAACAATTTGAGAAGAAGAGTGCATGAATTTCTCAAAATGTGAATGGTCATGAAGGCTTATTGATCTATTAATCATTATGCAGGCTTTGGCGTGGGGTTTGGAGTATTGGTCCTACTTATTTGTTCATGGTGGTTGTACAAAGTTATAAAGAAAAGCAGGAATGAAAAACGCAAGAAGATGTTCTTTGAACGGAATGGTGGTTTGTTGCTGCAAGAACAACTATCTTCAGGGGAAGTCAACGTCGAGAAAATCAAATTGTTTGGTTCAAAGGAGTTGGACAAGGCCACTGATCATTACAATGTGAATAGAACGCTTGGCCAGGGAGGCCAAGGTACAGTTTACAAAGGGATGTTAGCGGATGGAAAAATCATTGCAGTCAAGAAATCAAAAGTTCTTGATGAAGATAATCTCAGACAATTCATCAATGAAGTTGTCATTCTTTCACAAATTAACCACAGGAATGTGGTCAAGCTTTTTGGTTGTTGCTTAGAAACTGAGGTTCCATTGTTGGTCTATGAATTCATTCCTAATGGAACCCTTTGCCAGTTTCTACATGACTCAAATGAAGAATTCCCATTAACTTGGGAAATGCGATTAAGGATTGCAACAGAGGTTTCTGGGGCACTTTCTTACCTACATTCAGCAGCTTCCATTCCAATTTTCCACAGAGATATCAAGTCTACAAACATTCTACTAGACGAGAAGTACAGAGCCAAAGTAGCAGATTTTGGGACATCAAAGTCAGTAACCATCGACCAAACACGTGTCACAACTCTAGTACTAGGCACCTTCGGGTACTTGGATCCAGAGTACTTCCAAACAAGCCAGTTGACAGCCAAGAGTGATGTTTATAGCTTTGGGGTGGTCCTTGCTGAGCTACTCACTGGACAAAAGCCAATCTCTTCCATGAGATCAGAAGAAGAAAACAGAAGTTTAGTAACATATTTCATTGTTTCCATGGAGGAAAACCATCTATTTGACATTCTTGATCCTCAAGTTACTATGCAAGGAAAGAAAGAAGATGTAATGATGGTTGCCATGTTGGCCAAGAGATGTTTGAGCATGAAAGGAAGAGAAAGGCCAACAATGAAAGAAGTGGCAATGGTGTTAGAGGGGATCCAAAAGTCATACGGGACTCAAAAATCACAGCACATGATCATTCCTCAAGAGATCGAGTATGATCCAAATGGTTTCATGGAGGGGCTTTGGGACCTTGCTTCTTCTGACACAACAGGCTCTAGTTCGGATAGTCGTCTTGCTTCATCACTAGATAGAAAACCACTCTTAATAAATATTAAATAGAATTAATGCTTCCCAAATTACTACATGTTTTTTTCCTCATAGATAGTGAAGCTGATAGAACTTAATTATACCACTGGATATTGCATATATTAACAGATATTGCTGCTGCTTAATACTTACTTTTCGTCTGTGATTGAGGGGTTTTTTTTTTTTTGGGATATCAGACTGAGTTTGTTTTCTAACCACAAATCAAACCTAGAAATTTATTATTCCTGACAAGAAAAGCTAAAAAAAATAAAAATTGTTAGTTATCCAATTATCTTATATAATCAATAATTTATTGTCACTCAAAGATTTAGTTGCTTTTAAGTTGAATCTTAAATATAAAAAAGTATTATGTAAATTAAGTCAATTATACCGTATATAAACTACCGTGATAAACAGTATGGATATGATCCTCATAAAATGATGTGTGCAATCCACCATGTTTTTCTATTAATTTTATTTGATATTATAATGCATGCTTCTCAATTAAAAATACATCAAAATAATATTTATTTTAATTTTTTTCACTATAACATATCAAAATTATCAAATATATATATATATATATTTAAAAGCATTAATTTTATATTTTTTAAGTGAAAAAATAATTTAAAAGGTAGGTTATAAGACAAAAACTTACAGCTAAATATAAATGATAATTTCTCATCAAACTGGGCCACGTTGTCAAAAAAACAAAGGCCTTGCTTGTAAAGATAAACAAGTTGGGGAGACATGTAAAATCCAACACGGCTAGGAGCTCAGAAATGAGTAGCTGGGTCACAATTCAATTAATTTAACAGCCGCACAGGTCCAAAGTTGACTCCCTCGTTGATTTTTGCTCCACCTGATCCTCAGTGGCATGTCATGATCAATTCCATTATAAATCAAATCTTATTTCAATAAACTGACCTCTATATAATTCACTTCTAAGATTTTATCAAATACCATGAATTCTCGAGAATATAGATAGAGAAGAAAATATCAACACATAAGATATCATAATATCACATGCATCTATGATGAAATTATATTAAAAAGAAAAGGTTTACATAGAAAAAAAATAGAATAAACTGAAACATAATTTTAAAATCCGGTTTGGCGAGCCTATCCGACATTAGATTAAAAAAAATAAAAATAAAATCTGATATAAACAGGTTGACACAACAAAACGCTAGTAAAAATCTAGTTGCAACCCATCAATTTTTATTTGTTTACTAAAATATTATTGTTTTGACTCAAAAAAATTGACCTAATCAAAACTTTATCTTTAAAAAAATATATTAAAATAATTTTTTTATATTAACATATCAATAAAAAAACATTAATTTAATATTATTTCACAACATACACATTTTTAAAAGCTATAAAAAAACAAAAATTATCATATTCTTGAACATTAAGAAAAAGCACACCAGGGAATAGAAAAAGAAATTCTCTTTTTGTTTTGTATCATTATACAGTGCTGACAACCACGTTTTATGAGAGGCAATGAATAGTAAAAAAATATTTTTTTTATTATTTTGAATGATGGATAATTAATTTGACATGAAAGTAAAATTAACAGTTATCATCAAATGATTCAAGAATTTTTTTTATTATTATTTGTTTAGCATTACTGCGGTATTTTTAGAACAATAAATAGTTACGTAAAGAAGTTTATTCTCTTACATGATTTTTCGAACATAATATAGGAAAAGAAATATAGTTTCATGGACACCTCATCTCACTTGTCTGTACACCCATCCACATGTAAGCCTAAATTAAATAAAATCTTGACGAGACACATTGTTAGAAACAGCGATCGGGTCATGACTATTTACCAGCTTTAATATATCTGTGATCGTTGTGCAATGATTTTGTCTTTTGCTACAACTGCGGGTTGCGGGCTTTGAATGTCTTTGGATAATCCAAAGGAAACCGAGCATCTTCAGCTAGAATATGGAAATATAATATTTCCCTGAAATTTCCAACTGATTAATCGAGAGGTATGTTAGAAGATGCAGACGAAATTAATATCTTGAATATAGTTTTCCTGTGTATATATTTGATCTGTTGAGTGGATCGAACTGCAGTGAATGGCTGCAACATCTACATCAGGGCAGGAAAGAAAAGGGAATGACAGCTATTCAGTTAGTACTAGTGTACTTTCAGGTAATGTTGTTGTTGTGGTCATTTGATGATCCATCGCTTATTGCAGAAGCACAAGCTATGGAAAACCCTGGAATTTGTCCAGGTGTCTGTGGCAATGTTAGCATTCCATATCCATTTGGAATGAGAGAAGGTTGTTACCATGACGAAAGCTTAAAAATACTTTGCAACTCTAGTGAAATTCCCCTACTTTCAATAAACGGCACTGATCTGGTGGTGACAGACATTTCGGTTGGTGACAGCACCATTACGGTCAACTTTCCAATTGTCTTTGCAAACTGTGATGGCAAAGAAAGAAACACCGTTTTTGACTTGGAAGGAAGCCCTTTTGTTTTCTCCTCAGATTTGAATAACTTCATTGCAAGTGGCTGTGACAACCTTGCCTTGCTGATTCAGAACCAGTCAGCAGTTGGTGGGTGCATGTCAATCTGTGATCATGAAAGAAGCAATAACTACTTATTGAGTAGTTGCAGCGGCATCAACTGCTGCCAGACTAGCATTCCTTCATATCTCAAGGTTTATAATGTAACCTTTGAAGGGGTAAATGATGGGAAAGGTCCTGGAAAAAAAAAGCCGGCGAAGAAATGCAGGCATGCCTATTTAGTTGACGGAAATTGGATGGATAATAGTGTATGGTTGGAGTGGAAGCATAATGACCTCTTATGACAGTAGAGATATGGACCCTGTTCCAGTAGTGCTGGATTGGGGGATAGAATTAAGGGTATATGAATCACTTGTAAATATTGGATTATTCTCTAATACAAGTAACACTTACAACTGTCAAGTTCTGAATCCCCCCCCTGATTCCACCAACCAGATGGCAACAGTTCAATGTTTTTGTAAGGCAGGCTTTGCAGGAAATCCTTATTTAGGTCATTGTGAAGGTAAACTCTTGGTTAATTGTACAATTTTCTTATTTTCTTTGGCATTATATTTCCTAATCTACGATTCTTCTCGAGTTTTTTACCATTACATGGTGTAAAGATCAACTGTGTCACTCCATATATGGCAGAGGATCGAGACTACATGGAGTACGGGAGACCTGTAAGAGCAAAAATGGTAGTCATGGTTATGTTGTTTCATTTGCATCATATATCATCTAAGAAATGACAATTACTTGAGACTAAGAATACTTATTCAACAGCGCCATTTTACCTAACCAGTTCCCTTTCCCTATCCGCTCATAATTGCTTTACTTGTGTAGGAATTGGAGTGGGATTTGGAGTGTTGTTTTTACTCATTGGTTTGTGGCAGTTGTACAAGGTATTCAAGAGGAGGAGGAATGAAAGACTGAGGGAAAGATACTTTAAAAGGAATGGTGGTTTATTGCTGCAAGAACAACTGTCTTCAGGCGAAGTCCATGTTGAGAAAGTCAAATTGTTTGCATCCAAAGAATTAGACAATGCCACAGATCACTACAGTGTGAATAGTGTTAGGATTTGCCGTGGGCAATAAATTATACAACCTACCCTCAAAAATAGACTTACTATTATCAAAACTACAATGATAGTTACACCTATTATTAATAAAAATACAGCAACCTATATATTATCATCATTTATACCATAATTGATGGCCTATTGTTTGTCATGAAAGGCCTATAAATAAAAATATTATTTAAAAATAAAATAAAAGAAAATATAAAAAGTGAAATAAAAAGAAAAAAAGCTATTGCCATGGGTAGCCGCGTGTATGAACTAGGAATTAAGTTAGAATGAATATAATTCTCCTTCTTCTTCGTATATGTGTTTTGTATCCTTTTTTTATTTCTAATAATATTAACTCTCTTATGGATATAAATAATATGTCAAATCACATTAAATATTATATTAATATGTTTAGTCTTCTATAAACAAATATAAGTACATCATCCATCCGAATTCCCCAACAAATCCAATGCTTGGCCAGGGAGGTCAAGGTACAGTTTACAAAGGCATGTTGGCTGATGGAAAGATCATCGCAGTTAAGAAATCCAAAATTCTCGATGAAGGGAATCTCAGACAATTTATCAATGAGGTGGTCATTCTGTCACAAATTAACCATAGAAATGTGGTTAAGCTTTTGGGCTGTTGCTTGGAGACTGAAGTTCCATTGTTGGTCTATGAATTCATTCCAAATGGGACACTTTCCCAGCTACTCCACTCCCCAAGTGACGAACTCCCATTCACTTGGGATATGCGCTTAAGGATTGCAACAGAGGTAGCAGGGGCACTCTCCTACCTGCACTCAGCAGCTTCCATCCCCATTTATCACAGAGACATCAAGTCTACGAACATACTGCTTGATGACAAGTACAGGGCAAAAGTAGCAGATTTTGGGACTTCTAAGTCAGTAACCATCGACCAGACTCATGTCACAACTCTAGTACAAGGCACCTTTGGATACTTGGATCCAGAGTACTTTCAATCAAGCAAGTTCACAGACAAAAGTGATGTGTATAGCTTCGGTGTAGTCCTCGTCGAGCTACTCACTGCGCAAAAGGCAGTGTCCTTTTGCAGATCGGAGGATGAAGCCAGAAGTTTAGTGACATATTTCCTTATGTCCATAGAGGACAACCGTCTGTCAGGAATTCTTGATCCTCAAGTTAAAGTTCAAGGCAGGAAGGAGGATATAATGATGGTTGCTGTCTTGGCTAAGAGCTGCTTGAGCATGAAAGGAAAAGAAAGGCCTGCAATGAAAGAAGTTGCCATGGTGTTGGAGGGCATCAGAAACTCACATGAGTGTCAAAAATCACCGAAGGATTTTATCATTCCGCAAGAGATCGATTATGATGCCAACGATTTCATGGAGGTACCTTGGGACCTAGTTTCTGTCACAGCAGATTCTGATTGAGATCTTTTACAGTTGTGGTGCTTCATCACCAGATACAAAACCTTTCTTAATTACATTTTTTATTCTGCCATAGATATATTGAACCTGATTTATAGATTTATTATATTAATGAACAATGGTGCTGCCAAAAACTTTTTGCTGTTACATTTTAATTACTAAATTATTTGTGTGTGTGTGTGTGGTCTCAATCTAAAAATGTAGTATAGGCTTTTTTTTTTCTTAAATGCCTTGTGCTAATTTAATTTAATTAATTAGAGAAAATGTGGCGGTAGAATTAGTACTCATAATTGTTTAGATAAACTGTTTTTTTATGAAAAATAAATAAATTATAAACAATCAAAATTTTAAATCGTATCTTGTAATTAAAATTTGCATAAACTTGTCACTATATTATATTGTATCAATTTTAATTTAATTAGAGAATGAGAATAGATGGATTTGAATTCGTTTGACTATTGCGATCTTGAAATTATATGAAAAATTATCTTAGATTTTTCTCACCTGATTCATTTTAAAATCATTGAAAATAAAATCTCAAATTCTTATAAAATTAATTTTTTATTGGTTATATTTTCTCTGAAATTTTATTATAACAAGTTTTTACTTCTATTTATTATGCAAATATTATAAATCATAGAAAAAATATCCTTGAATTGTTTATTTTAAAAATAACTAGCTGTAATTCTCGAATGTTTGTCTATAATTATTTATTATTTAAAGACTTTGTGTTTTGCGATTAGTTTTTATTTTCTTCCTGGGAAATTTTTCTACTTTGAATGGTGCAAATTAAAATATTTTGTATTTTGGGGATTTTTTTATTTTTTTTATTTCTTATTTTTCAAAACAAACTATAACATAATGAGAATAAGGTAAGAGAAATGTAAGGAAACGAAGAAAAAAAAGGTGATTGTATTACCTTTAATATCCAAACTATATACAAAGGCAACCCACCAATACCATGAGACGTGTTTTAAATAAAATTGTTAATTTTATTTTGTTTTGTTAAGAATAGTTAAAACATTTTATATCAATTTAAAAAATACACGTGTTTTAAATAAAATTGTTAATTTTATTTTTTTTGTTAAGAATAGTTAAAACATTTTATATCAATTTAAAAAATAAACGTGTTTTAAATAAAATTGTTAATTTTATTTTTTTTTGTTAAGAATAGTTAAAACATTTTATATCAATTTAAAAAATAGAATAAAATAAAATAATTTTCATTTCATTTAAATCTCGGAATGTTCTAGTTTTATTTTACATGTTTCATTCCGCTCTTAAAAAACCTTTGAATCAAATTAAATCATCCAAGTATAAACTATAAAAAATTCTTTTTCATTACTATTTTCAATAACAATAATATTAAAAATAATTATTACTATTTTCATTAACAATAATATTAATTTTTTAAAATTATATTTATCACTAATATATATGATTTATATTCATATTACTTTTTTCATGTTTATATTTTGTAGGAATTTAAACAAAACAACTCATTAACCTTGATAACATTAACTTATTAAATGAATGAATTTGTGAAGAATCTAGCCTTCTTAATAGAGAGGATATAAGTTATGAGACTATTAAAGCACCTTTGTCTACTTTAATTTTAAAGGATAAAAAAATATGTTTTGATGATGGGAAAGAGTTTGGTGAAAATAATCAATTATTGAAATATTTAGATGGTGACTTTCCCTATGTACCACCATAACATCAAAGTTCTTATTTTTATTTTAATGATAAAGATGATGTTTGATTTATGTTAAAACATTTTATTTCATAATATTTTGGTATTTTATTTAAATTAAATTATTTTAAGTTAAAGTTTTATTTAATCTTAACTATTTAGAAATATTTTAAATTTTAAAATTGTATTTGTTTGATATTATATAATTTATAATTAATTTATCTTAAATTTGAATTATGTTTGTTAAATTATATATATATATGCATGAATAGTACAACTCCAAAACTACACATCAAAACGCTTCAAAACCGAAATATTTTATTCAATTTGAAAAAAAAAATACTTAATGATACAGAATTGAAAACCTTGGTTTTAAATTAAAATCCATAAAATTATGCATCCTATTCAAGAATATACAAAACAACTCATATTAAAAAATATATATGTAAACATTAATTGGATATTTCTATTCACATATGGAGTTTATGATGAATATATATTAATTAATGCCAATACTTCGTTAAATATATTCATTTTTTTCTAGAAAAAAAAGAAGTAAATATTTTCTACCTTGTAGTTTATATTAAATCAGCAAAGATTGTGCTTGTCATCCTTTCAGCTAATCTTCAAAGATTATGTATATTCAACTTTTTTAATCATTATCTAATTATAATTAATATTAAATTTATAAAACGCTTAAGCGTATTAAGTTGCTTATAATAATAATGATTCTTAAAAAAAAGATATTATATTTAATTAAAAAAAAGGATTTGATAGGAAGATAATAAGATGTAAATGATACATAATCAAATTATTATATTGACAACTTAAAGAGTAAGAATAAAATGATCAGAAAACTAAAATAAATTGGATTAGTGAACAATATAGCATTGATTGGTACAAAAACAACGTATTTCAGTTTGTGGAATTCACAAATTACATAATCCACTCGAATGGGGTTTTTATAGAAAGAAAATCCCGAGATAAAGTTTTCTATAAAGCTAGCATCACTGTAGATTATCCTGCCTGAAAAGCTAGCCAAGGCCAAATGCAGTGGTTTTGGCAAGACTCTTGAAACGGCACAACCTCTTGCTATATATATATATATATATATATAATACGACGGGCACCATATGCTAAAATATGATCCAAACGAAAATGATTTCTTTCACCGGACATTTCATACTGCTAGTGTTATTATCTCTGTCGCTGATCATAACTAGCTGCGATGCAATTTGTCCATATACATCAACTCATTTAAATAACCTAAGCCTTGGACCTTACAATCCATTGCAAATCCAAGGACGACGATCTTGGTCAGCATGTAGTCCCTTTTGGTGGCGAATATACAATTGATTTCTGCACCAACTTCTGGAGAACCACATTGTTCTTCTGTGGCATGTCATGGTCATGTGAATTCCATTGGTTTGATATCTACGATGCTTCCAGGGATCCTTATTGTGGCGACTGCAATTGGACAATACAAGCAACTGGGCCATGCGTGGATTATTATAAATATATTTGGAAGGAATTCGCATGTTATTCTTGGAATAATAAGCCATATCTTCATTAAAGTGCGAGCTAGCTCTCTATGTATCTCATCCCCTTTGTTTAATTTGCTAGCTGCATAAAATGGAGGCAACAAAAAAAAAATTATACCATGTATTGATAATGAATTTCTCCACCCATTAGAGCATTTTCTTTTCATTATTTAGATAATTTTTTAAGGAATAACATTGTTTTGGTTGTGATCATCAGGATTTACCATTGCTTGTAAAATTCGGAGACGTAATATATTTTATGCTGGTTGTTACAAAATATAATATTATAATTTATTTTGGGTACGTCTACCCTAGATAATCTAGATTTAGTTATCGCATGAATACAGATATTAATGTTATAAAACCTGATTTGGTTTTATAACTCAACCCGGTGATTCATTGATTCAAGATATAATCCAGTTTGGTTTTTATATTGAATTGGATATAAATTACCCTAATTAACCCTCTATCATGTCGACCCAATAAAAAATTTAAATGAGATTTGGTTTGATTTTAAAAAAAAAAAGGAATCTAAAGTAATGCCATTTCAAAAAGAAATTAAATAAAATTTTAAAATAATATTATTTTAGTTTGATTAAGATTAACTCAACCCAGCTCTTTTAACTTATAACCCGGTGCTTGAACTAAACCCACTTCTATAACTATGATAAATACTAAGTATTTTTAAGAAATTAGTTCAATTATCTTTTGATTAAATATGTGAAGGTGGTAATATCCTATTTCACCGTTCTCTCTGTTCTCCATGGTATATGCGATGAGTGCACGAGAGATGTTATGAAGTTTAGGGAAGCAAGGGTAGCCATCCTAATGAGAAGGTAGTATTAAATAAAGGTTATGAGTTTTTTAGGTAGTGTTCGATTAGTATTTTATCATTAATCAAATTATTACACCACAATAAACTTTTGACAAGTCAAGAGTAATAAGAATATTTCGACAAGTAGTTAGAGTAAGAAGAATAAAATGGGAAAACTAAAATAGATTAGATTAGTGAATAATTTATAAAGCATTGATTAATACAAAAATATCGTGTTTCAATAAAGAGAAAGCTTGATGATAACTTGTAGAATTCACGAACACGATCCTGCCAAAACATTTTTATTTTTATTTTTGGAAAGATGATTTTGGGATATAATTTTCTATAAAATTATCATCGCTCAATATTGTCCTGCCTAAACAGCTAGCCAGATGCATGAACCAATTTAGTAGTAATTATCACTAATTCATTGTAGCCAAGTGCAGTTTGGCAAAATATACAAGGAAGAAACCCTTGAAACGGCACAACCATTTGCTATATAATACGAAGAGCCACCGTATACTAAAGCCTATAAGTAAGTTGGATTTGCGCGAATACTAAAAAAGAATCCAAACTAAACAGATCAAAATCTTCTTACAGACATGATTTCTTTCACCAGCCATTTCGCCCTACTGATATTATTATCCCTGTTGCTGCTGATCATAGCTACGTGTGATGCAGGTTGTCTATGGAAACCAACAAATTTAAATATCAATAATGACATAGGCCCAGGCTTGGACCTTACAATCCATTGCAAATCCAAAAACGACGATCTTGGGCAGCATGTAGTCCCTTTTGGTGGCGAATATACAATTGATTTTTGCTCCAACTTTTGGAGAAGCACGCTGTTCTTCTGTGGCGTGTCATGGTCAGGAAAACTCCATTGGTTTGATGTCTACGATGCTTCCAGGGATTCTAGTCGCTGTGGGAATTGCAATTGGACAATACATGCAAC